TCCTCGACCCCAGGTGGCTGGCCACGGAGCGGGGGACACCCAGGGACACCGCAGACGCCACTGGCTTTCTCAGAGGAGGCCGGGCGCTCGGGACTGCGTCAGGAAGGTGGCCACTGCCCACCCCCTGAGGAATGTGGAGGCACCTGCGTCCTCTGAGCCTGTGTCCCCCGGCCCTGAGGGGTGCTGGGCGGGCCGCGGATGGCACAGGTCTGGGCGGTGAGACCCTCCTCCCAGGCCACCTGCCGTCACCCTGGCCCGTTCCCACAGCCTCCCGACGCCCAGCCACCTGGCGAATCCCTCACACCCTGGCCGGCAGGCAACTCAACTATTGTTAGTGACCAGGGCTCGAGGAGGAGCCGAGCTGGGACTCAAGGGGCCCTCAAGTCTGAAAGCCAGGGCGTCACTGTGGGGGGGGGGTGCAGAGGCCAGCTCACCGCCAGGGGCATCGTGCCCAGCATCCCTCCAGGACCCCGGTCCCCGGGGTATTCTGTCCGAAGAAATGACCCCACTTCTGCCCCTAAGCAACAGCCGCGGGGCCCCCACCCCTTCTCTGCGCCCCGGCGCCCACGTGTGCGTGGCGGGCACCTCGTGTGCGTGGCGGGCGCTGCGGCAGGGGCCCTGGCATCCCAGGTGCTGTCAAGAGGGGAGCGGGCTGGGTGTAAGGGAGCGGGAAGCGGGGTTCTGCCGCAGACTGAGGCAGCACACGCCCGGCTCAGACACAGTACAGTGCTAGGGCAGCGCAGCCCCAGCAAGATGCCCACAGGCTGCCAGACGGGGCGCCCAAGGCCCCTTCCCCTCCTCGCCCACGGCCAGGTGGGCCGTGTCTGTCTGTGCACCTCGATAACACAAGCCCCGCCTACCCTTCCACAGAACCACGGGGCTTCCGATCAACCTGGAAAGTCTGAGCAGGTGGAAAGGCAGCGAGCTGGGCGTCGTCGTGGGCGGCAGGTCAGCCCCGCCCGGCCTCATCCCAGCCAGGGTTCAAATCCCAGCTTCTCAGCGCTGTGCCCGCCCACCCAGCGGCACCGTGAACCTCACCCGCCCGCACTGTTCCAACGAGACCTCGGCGCACGTGAGGCCCGGGCCTGGCTCCGGGCGGCTCATGTGATCCCAGCGGCAGAGCCAGCTTCCTGCCTCCCACAAAGCGGAGCGCGGCCGCCAAACCCACCGGATTCACGCGGCCCTGGGCGTGCTCGCCCGGAGCCTCTGCCCAGAGGGGGCCTGGCTGTGGCCAAAGGGAGACAGAACCCTTTGCATGTTCAAGTCGTTAAGTGTCTCCTCGGACGCGGGCTTGCGTTTTCGACGACTCTGTTTTCCAGTCCTGCCTGGAGGGAGGCAGCAGGCCCCAGCCAGGGCTGAGCCGGGGGCAGGGAGGGAGCAGAGACCCCTCGGCTGCCTGTGATCGGCTGCCTGTGATCGGCAGCCAGGCAGCCGCGTGTTTTCCCCATCACCTGGGGACCTGGGCCAATCTGTGGAAAAACAGGCTGCGCAGATATGCGGGTGGGAGGAAGCCGGCCACAGACAACAGGAGGCAGCTGCAGGGCCAGCGGTGGGCCCGCCCGGGGCCTGTTTAATTAGAGCCGCAGAGAGCGGGGCCGGCTGCCAGCTAGGCCGCCCCGGGTGAGATGCCCTCCCCTCCCGCCGCCCGCCTGGCGGCCGGTAATGAGGCCTGGACCACCCACACCACACACGGTGCCCCTAACCGGCTCCTGGGGGGGCTCGTGCGCACCATCTCCAGGGCCCTGGTCGGTGAGCCTGGAAGGGACCCGAGTGAACCCAGGGGTTCCCATCCTCCTCCACCAGGCCCAGGGCGTGCCCTCCAGGCCAGGCCAGGCTCGTGGCCCTCAGGGCTCCAGAGCACCTGTGGGCCACCTCCTGAGGCTGTCTGGGCCCCTGACCAGAGAGCAACTGCCCCAGGTCCCAGGAAGAGTGTCATCTGCCTTTGCTCAGCAGCTGACCCGGCAAGGAGGCTACACCAGCCCCCGACCCCGCAGTCGCTCCCCTGGAGCAGCTCAGCTCTGCAGAGGGGCTGGGAAGGGGCTGGCCCGGTGTGAGGCACCTGCTGCCCCCCAGTCCCTCCCCTGGAGCAAGGGGCCTCCCCTCACTGGTCCAGAAAACCCTCTCTGCACTGAGGGGGACAAGGCGGCTCCCAGAGTGCTTTCTGGGGTGTCCTCAGCCCAGAGCAGCCGCGTGGAGGTCCAGGCCAGCACCAGAGGGCAAAACGCTTCAAGGGAGAAGCCCGCTGACTTGGACGACCCTCCACACAGCAGTGGACCTGCAGGAAGGTGACGGTGATGGAGGCAGTGACAGTGACGACGATGGTGGTAACCATGGTGACGACACACCCACGGACACGACTGCCTTCCGTCCTCACGGCAACCCTCACAGAGGTGCTGACTCTCCTCCGACACCCGGGCGGCGTCACCCCACAGCCTGTGATTCCTCCCCAGCCGGCTCCTCCCAGCAGGCTCCTGAACACACTTTACACTCCGGCACGAGTGTGCGGGGGTCTCCTGTGCTCTCTCTCACTCCCATGACCCAGGCTCAGACTGCCCAGGACACCAGGGACCCCACACCCCAGGACAAAGCCAGGGGTACCCATTGCCCCTTCTCCTTCCCCTCCTCGGTGCCCGGGGTCCGTCGTCAGGGGGAAGGGAGGGGCCTGGAGTCCAGAGACTCCTGTTGGGACCCTGGCTCTGCTGTGACAACAGGGGTGACCCTGAGCCAGCAACACCCTTGTTATTTACAGAAGGGGAAACGGGGGCCCCGTGCCGTCGACATGGGCCCAGAGAACACCTCCGACAAGCGCCCACCAGAAGCGTGGCCCCCCAGGAGCGACACGGTCGGAGGGCGGTGTCTGCCCACAGCCAGGCCCCGTTGTCTAAGGAAGAGCGTCAACATGACCATGACGTGTTTTCCACACGCATGTGTCTCCACACGAAGCAGGAACAGCCTGGAGGGAAGACGCACCCCCAATGGCGGAGCAGACCCCAGCCTGTGGCAGCGGGTGACTTGCCCTGAACCTGAACTCCGCAGGAGGGGCACGAAACAGAGGTGTGCTCGCCCGCAGTCGGCTTCTCTGCCGAGGACCAGGCCAGGAGGACGCGGCCGGGCCGGGAGAGAACCGGGCTGCCTAGCCCACGGCCCGAGCCTGCACGGCTGAGCCCGCTCCCCGGAAACGAAAAAGCCACCCATTTGGACGCCACAGGGAGACCTCCGTGGAAGGTCGGGGGCCAGTCCCTGCCCACCCCCCCTGGAGCCTGTTTCCTGGACCGTCCCCCTTTCTTCAGGGGCTGTGGCCAGAAAAGGGAGCCCGCCCAGTTCTGAGACGGCAGAGTTTTCCTCTGTGCCAAACCAAAGACCTGAAACACACGCGTGAGAACCTTGCTCCCCGTCAGCCTTGCGCAAAGGAGCGTGTGACCCGCCTTCTGCTCCTGCACGTCCGCCCACGTCCCGACCCAGCGGCAGCCTGTGGGGGGGCTCAGGCCCGGGGCCCCCACCTGCAGCTGGGGTGCCCGGACGCAGCCTTCAGTCAGCTTGCACCTGGGCCACCCTGGTCCCACACGACGAATTTACTGAACCAGCGAGGGCCCCCGGGAGGGGCAGCCGGCTCCAGGAAGGGGCGGCTGGAAGTTCCGTGGGGCTAAAGAGACACTGAGTCTGGTGTTTCCTAAAAAGCTGCACCGGACGACTGCTGGCCCAGCAGCTGCACCCGGGGGGGGGGGGGGCACACACCCGCTCCCAGCAGCAGGTGCGAGTGACCGAGCTGCGGGCAACCCCGCAGGTGAGCAGACTGGGGTCCGTCCACGCCACGGAGCATCACTCAGCCCTGAACATGGAGGGGCCGGCGGCTCGGGGGCCAGAGCATCGTCCTGGGCACGGGGAGGGCGCAGGTGTGAGCCCGGTCAGGCGCGAGCGGGAGGCAACCAGCCTTCTCCCTCCGCAGATCCTCGGGCGAGGGCCGAACTGCAGAAGGAAGGACATTCTGACACACGACATGGATGGACCTTGAAATCACTACGCCAGGTGGAAGAAGCTGGTTTCAAAGGTCGAGCGTGTGACTCCGCTCACGGAAAAGCCGGAACAGGCAGACCCGTTGACACACGGGGCTCACAGTCCGCCCAGAGGGCCGTCCCCCGAGGCCGGCACAGCAGTGTGAGTCAGGGGGCCCTTCCCCGAGGCCCGAGGGGCGAAGAGGGCCGTGGTCTGTGTGACCTCAGCCGGAGGGTGTGGCGTGTGTCCCAGGAGGGAGCCGCTCGGGCTCAGGGCCGGGGACAGTCTGCAGACGGCCGGCCTCTCTGGACCTGAACCTGTGACAGCAGCACCCAGATCTGAATTGCAGTGTGAAGTGGTGTTTACACTCGGCCTGGACAGACGCCCGCTTGAGGCATCTGGGTCCACCTGGTGACCAGGACGCGGCTGCCACCGGGTTATGGGAACCAGAACCGTAGAAACGGACTGGAGGCTCAGCACCAGTACCAGCAAGTGGACACCGAGGGGTGGCCGGGCCCGGGGGCCTTGCCTGGGACTCCTCTCCTGCCTGGTGCCTGCTGTGTCCCTCCCAGGACGCAGGTGACACTACACTCAGGGCCCACGGGGGAGGCCGGGACCCACCCACGGGTCTGGTCCCAGCCGTCACCCCTGCACAGCCCTCTGCATTCGGGGGTCCAGCGTTGGGTCACATTATCATTGGGGCCGGGACACGCCCACAGTGGGTGCTCACCACCGGCCCTGTGGGACCTTCGGGTGGTAATGGCTGACCAGTGTCTTTAATTCTGAGCCCACACCTTTCTCTCTGAGAAAAGTCCAGGCCACTGGGCAGCTCAGGAATTTCCAGAAAACCAATCAACTGGAAAAACATGGGGTCCTATTGGTAACGGAAGAAATGACACCGCGAGCGCCAGGCTGACCCACGCCCCCCCAGACGGGGTCACCGTGACTCACGGCCGTGGCCACGTGGCCCGGGAAGCGCCCGTCCCCGCCTGCCCTCCGGGTCCTACCTCCTCTCGTTGTCGTCCAAGTGAGCGAACAGCACGTTCCTGGAGATGGCCTTGGCCAGCGCCGTCATGGTCTTGTAGTCCTTGGGGATGACCTGCGGGCGTCAGCAGCACTCAGACCCGCGGCACCCCGGCCACCTGCCTGAGTCTGAGGAGCCACGGGACTGAGACCACGCCGCTCGGCCCTCGGCCGTCCTCGGGGACGGCCACCATCGGCAGCGGCAGGCGAGGCTCCGTGTTCATTTAACAAGTAGAAAGGAGCCCAGCCAGTGTGGCCCAGTGGCTGGAGCGTCGGCCCATAAACCAAAGAGTTGCGGGTTCGATTCTGGTCCAGGGCGTGTACCTCGGTTGTGGTTCGTCCCCGGCCCTGGTCGGGTCGTGTGGGAGGCAGCCAGTCGATGTGTCCCTCTCACACTGATGTTTCTCTCTCCCTCCCTCTCTACCTGAAGATAAACAGAAAGACCCTCGGGGGAGGATTGGAAAGGAAAGAGAGGACAAGGAAGCGGGGACCCAGGGGGCTCGGCACGGCCTGAGGCTGGGCCCCGGTGGGCTCGGAGCCTCCCCACAGGGGCTGGAAGGTCCCGGGGGTTACTGTGTCTTCATTGATTCTTTACTTCCCTGTCTTCTAAGGTAACAAACACTTTACTTAAATATTTGAAAACTGAAAAAAGAGACAAAAGGGGCCCCACGGACCTCACCCTTCTGGGGGAGGAGGAAGGGGCGGGGGGGATGGTGGGCTGGAGGGGTCTGGATGTCTATCAGCCAACCCGCGGAGCCCCAGGCGAGGGACAGGCGTCCCCACGCTAGGCGGGCTCCTCGCAGGACCTGTGCGGGGTCGCTGGGCCCGAGTCCTCACTCGATGATGAAAAGACCTTGCGTCTCAAACACCACGATTTCTCCCTTAAAAGGTCGAGAGTGGGAGGCTGTTGGGGACCCATCAGGACCCGCCAGGACCCCCGGCCGGGAGAACAGGGGCCGGGGAGCCGGGACGCCGCCCCTCCAGCCCCAGTCCATGACCCAGCGTCGCCCCTTCGCTGAGCCCGGCGGGATCACAGAGCCTCCGAGGGGTGCGGAGACCCCGCGTGAACACCTCGGGCACCCGGGTGCCGGCGGGCGGCAGCTTGACCAGGACGACGGGCCCCCCCAGACCCCACACCCACCTTCCGGACATAGGACGCGGCGTCCTCCTCCGTGTACACCTCAGCGCTCACGCCCCCGCGGCGGGAACGGGCTTTCACCACCGGGTTCGGCAGAGTCGGCGAGACCTCCTCGTCGTGCGAGTCGGACTGGGAGGCCGACTTCTGAGCCAGAATCTGTCTGTTCTCTTCCTGTGGGGGCGACAGGGACAGGAAGTGAGACCAGAGGCCCCGGGACCGTCTGCAGGTGAGCACGGAGCCAGAGCGGCTGGGTGGGAGCGGAAACAGGGCCAGGGTTTCCTCCACCTCACTGCCCACCACCAAGGGCGTCCCCGGTGAGCTCCTACATATGCGTCAAGGCCCATTCCGACGTCACCACCAGCGAGAAGCCGTCCTCTCGGCTCTCCCGTCCGCCCGCCACCTGCACGGTGTTTTGCTCACACTGATGGAGCCACGTTGCGGCTGCGACCCTCCTCCACACAGGGTCGGGCTGCAGGCATCGCTGAGTCCGCGAGTGAGTGTGAACGGACACACGGACGCACGGACAGAGAAACAAATGAACTAAACGGAGTCCAGACAAGGGTTCGAGCCCCGTGTCCCGCACTGTACAACCGTCATGACCACAGCCCACTCCGTTCCTGGTGTCAGGCCAGGGTGACGTCCCAGGGGCCGCAGGGCGGGGAGCTGACCCCATTCCCTCAGCATCACAGAGGCAGGGCTGTGACGCGGCCCCAGGACGGCACCCCTCCCTGTCCCAGTGTCGCCAGGACGGAGGCTCCAGTGAAGGGCCCTGCAGGCTGGCAGAGGGGCGGCTGGGAAACGCAGAGATGGCCCAGGCCTCGTCTTGGACCAGTGAGCATCCCGTCCTGGCCCCGGGACCTCTCCAGCTCCCACAGCAGAGGGGACCTCGCCTCTGGCTGGCACCCCTGCCCAGCCTCGGGGTGCCAGGAAAACCTCTGGTTCTTCACCGCCCCTTCCTGTCTCCGGCTGCAGCTGACGAAGTGTCCGCGTGGCAGGACGGTCAGGGCACAGGGTCAGGACAGGCTCTTCCGGCCAAAGGGATCCTCGTACCGTCGGTGTGGGGAGCGCGGCCCCAGGGACTGCCCCTCGGTCCCCGGGCCACGCTCTCCCCGGCCCGTGAGTGATGGCCATGCTTTCTGTTCCCCCTGCACTAGGCGAGGCCAACTTCCAGCCCAGAGGCGGAGGGTGGGATCTGGGGAGCCCCGGGCGAGGGGACACCGCCCACCCCGCCTGCGGTGAGCACACAGCGGCCCTTCCGGGGATTTCCGGGAGGAGACGGGGTGTTAGGGACTCTGTCCTTTCTGTAAACCTAAAACTTCTCTGGAAACAGTCCACCGTGTTAAAGCACATCCTTAGGTTATGAACTTTATCACGCGTGGGCCTGGGAGGACAGAGAGGAACAGCGCCGGGAAATACAGCGGGTGTGAAACTCACTCCCGAGAGATCGATGTTCGTTTCTGTCTTCACCCTTTCCTGTGCTTCCTCAACTCCCTAAGATGCGGTGGAGCCCACCTCTCGTCACACGACCTGGTCACTTCCGAGACCTTTCTCCCTCCGTGGAGTAAGCCGGTGATGCAGCTGAGTCGGGGCGTCGGGGGCGTCTGCAGAGGGACCAGCGGCGGCGCGGCTCCGGCTGAGTCAGACACGGACCCGGCGGAGGCTCACCGCTGGGCCCTTCACGTAAAGACATGCGGGTCCCCAGGGGGCACCGTGAGCAGCAGGACCACAGCGGCCACAGGGTGGTCCTGTCCCCTCCTGGGAGAAGCGTTTCCCACGTGGCCACGTGTGTGATGCTGGGGGTCGGTGGACACCCACAAAACCGCGCTCACACTTCACTCGTGGGTAAGTAAGAAGCGAGTGCGGTTCTGTGGGCGTGGATTTCTTCCTGAACTGACTTTTCCATGGTTGTTTGTTATGAGATTGTTTGGGAAATAAAAACCAACGCAGGGACGTTAACAAGCCCCGTCCTGGAAGTCTGTGGGCAGCTCCATGCCGTGGCCCGGCTCACCTGCGGAGACACGGGAGGGGGTGGGAACCGGGCCAGCGGAGCACCGAGGCGACAGTGTGCGAGCAGCCAGACCCACCCGGGACGTGGCTCCCACAGGGCACCACTGCGAGACGTGGCCTCGGCCTGGGGTTCCTCCCTCCACGGTGCCCAGGGCGCACCGACGGGCTCGGGGCCCACGGGGGCGTGCCACAGCTGCACACGGACGTCACGGAGCTGTGTTCACAGTCGCCAGAACGTGGGAGCAGCCCAGACGTCCTGCGGCAGGCGCCGGACAGACTGTGGCCCAGCACACAGCGCAAGACGACGCAGCACAGACAGAAATGAGCCGCCGGCCGTGAAGGACACAGCGGAACTGGACGCTCGTGAGTCGGCGACGGAGGCCAATCTGACGGGGCGTGTGCTGTGTGAGTCCAACCGAGGCGACGTCACAGAGACCATGAGAGACCAGCCCTGGCCGGGGGGCTCCACTGGCTAAGCACTGTCCCCTACACCAGATGGTTGCGGGTTTGATCCCTGGTGGGGCACATCTGGGAGGCAGCTGATCGAAGTCTCTCTCTAAAAATCAATAAAAACCTCCTCAGGGGAGGATTAGAAAGGAAGGCAGATCCGTGGCAGCCAGGGGTTCGGGGGAACAGGCACAGGGGCCCAGGGCAGGTCTGTGACACTGAGTGTCCGTCAAGCCGGCAGCCCTGGGAGCCTCGATGGCCCACAGACTCAGCGAGCGGCAACGTGTCCCACGTGTGGCGACAGCACCACGTGGATGCACCATGTTAACGACCGGGAACCGTGGGAGGAGGCGGGAAACACTCTGTACTTTATATTCAATTTTTACGTCAGCCTGAAATGCTCCAAGAGGTAAAAACTGTTAGTAGTTTTTAAAATTACTACTTAAGCCCAGCCGGTGTGGCTCGGTGGCTGAGCGTCAACCCTGCACCAAGAGGTCGCTGGTTCGATTCCCGGTCAGGGCACATGCCCAGGTTGTGGGCCCATCCCCAGTGGGGGGCGTGCAGGAGGCGGCCAGTCGATGTTCTCTCTCATCGATGTTTCTCTCTCTGTCTCTCTCTCCTTCTCTCTCTAAAATCAATAAAGAAAAATTATTTTTAAAAAAAAAGTATCACTCAGGATAAAACGTGAAATGGACCGAGCACAGGGAACAAAGTCAGGAACGTTGCGCTAACCATGTACGGGGCCGGGTGGGCGCTGGCACAGCAGGGGGTCACTTCGTCAAGGCCCTGACCGTGTGACCACCGTGCTGGGCCCTGGAACCTAATACACAACACTCCTGAATGCGAACTGCAACTGAAAACTAAAACTTCAAAACACGAAACAGGAGCCGATTAACCTGTGAAGAGACCCTGCAAAGTGAAAACAATAAAAGTTTTTCTTTCCTTGATGAAAGGAATCAGAGACCTGATTAAACAGAGAGACATTCTGTGTCCGGGGATGGGAAGATTCAACACTGGTGACCGGTGTGTTCTCCCCAAAGTGATGTACATGAACCTCAACAGGAATCAGGACCTGGGTCACTATCACCAGGCTCTTTGTACCACGTACGTGGAGCAGCAAAGAAGCTACAGTAGACGAGACAGTGTTGAACAGGAAGGCAGTTGGGAGACACTCTGCCTGAAACACTGACTGCAGGACGTGGTGGTCACGTGGCGCAGCCAAAGGAAGAGGTTCCGGCGCAGACCCGCAGGCGGGCGGCCGGTGCACCCTCCCTCAGCAGATGTTCTCAGGTGCCTCTTTTTTTTTACCCTCACCCAAGGACATTTTTTATTCAGATAAAGAGGGAGGGAGAGAGAGGAACAGAGAGAAACGACGTGAAAGGGACGCATCAAGTGGCTGCCACCCGCATGACCCAACCAGGGCCGGGGACACACGACAACTGAGGTACATGCCCTCAGCGGGAACTGAACCCGGGTCTCTCTGGACCGCAGGCCGACGCTCTAACCGCTGAGCCAAGCCGACCAGGGCTCGGATGCCTCTTTTTTTTTTTTTTTATCCTCACCCGAGGATATTTTTTCCATTTTTGGTACAGATAGAGTGGGAGGGAGAGAGAGAGAGAGAAACATCGACGTGAAAGGGACACATCGAGCGGCTGCCACCCGCACGACCAACCAGGGCCGGGGACAAACTGCAACTGAGGTACATGCCCTTAGCGGGAACCGAACCCGGGTCTCTCTGGACCGCAGGCCGACGCTCTAACCGCTGAGCCAAGCCGGCCAGGGCTCAGATGCCTCTTAAATGCAAACGCACAGGGTGTTTAGAACATGTTGATAAACTAGACCCCAGAAGCAAACACTTGCTCTGTGGAAGACATTATTAAGAAGCGAAAAGACAGACCACAGACAGGAAGAAAACATCTGCAAACCACACAGTTGGCAGAGAGCAGTGTCCATGTGCCTAAGGACACGAGCTCAGATACAAAGACTGTTCAAACTCAGCAGCAGGAAAACAACCTAATAAAAACGGACAGAAGACAGGAACAGATGCTTCACAGAGAAGACGTGCCAACGCAAAGCCGCGTCTGAAGAGCCGTTGAACCTCCGCAGTCGTCAGGAACTGCAGAACAAAACCTCCTGAAATCCCAGCAGTCAAGGGCTGAACGGCGGAGACCAGTTCTAAGAAATATGTCACTGGACCATTTGTTGTTGGGCAAACATCACAGACACACTTACACGTGCTTGGATGGTAACGGCTGCCCGTCCAGCTGCCCACCCAGGCCCCACGGTAAGACCGGCTGCCCGCCCAGTGTGGGGGTGGCTGGAGGGGAAGCAGGGTGGGGGGTAGGAGAGGGTTTAGGGGGGTAAATGGTGATGAAGGAGCCTTGACTTGGGTGGTGAACACGTGATACAGGGTGCAGATGATGTGCTGTAGAATTGTATACCTCAAACCTGTATAATTTTATGAACCTACGTCACTCCAATAAATTCAACAAAAATATTTTAAAAATTCATAGAGTTATACAACAATGAAAATAAATTTAACTTCATTTCAATTCGATGATGAGTGATTTTTTTTTCTTTTTTCTTTTTTATTTATTCCTCACCAGAGGATATTTTTCCACTTATCATCGACAGAGTGGGAGAGAGGGAGAGAGAAACATCGATGTGATAGAGCCACATCGACTGGTTGCTTCCCGCACGACTCCAACCGGGGCCGG